AACGTACAAACCACAGCAGAGAGTTTCATTTAACCGTCTCCCGCAGCTATTGTGGCCAGTCAAATATTTCGCTTAAATTTTGACATTTTGGGTTGGCAAAGATCAAAAGTCAAATGCTTCCAATTCAACGCCTCCCACTCTGCAACCCCCTCAACGGGATACGCAATACAAAGAAAAAAAAAGGAAAAGCGGGCGCGAGCATGGTGGAAAATCGAAAAGCGAAAACACCCATAAACAAAACGAGGAAAACTGTGCGGTCATAAATCTCGTACTGCTTTTCATTACGCCTAATTACGTACAGAGTGGTGGTGGAGTGCGGGTTTACGGGGCTGTAGACTAAATACGCGTTGCATTAGCACCAATATAAATAAATAAACAGCAGCATTAATTATACGCATACACGATTTCTATGCTGTATCATTTGTTGCATGTGTGTGTGTTTAGTTTGTGTTTGAATGCATTCATTATTTAATGCCACATGCGGCATACCACATTATTCGTAATGTGTCCAAAGTTGCATATTTGGTTATCTTTTGCTTCCGCTGCTGCTGTTGTTGTTGTGGTTGCTGTTGTTGCTGTTGCTGCTGTTTGTTTGCAGTCTGTCTTTGCGGTTGACCACTGACATTTGGTATTTGGCATTTGGCCGCTTTATCATTATCGCTATTTGAATCATAATTATTGTTTTAACTAATGAGGTTTGCATAAAACAAGCGCAGCATTAGCTCAAGAACCAAAAACAAAAAGGAACAAATTCTAATTATTAATTAAAACCGACTTTCAACGCCGTCGACAACACACAGACAAACAAATAAATAAGTTTATAGCGCATTAAGAGCAGCTACCACAATATCAGCAACAATTAAATATACTCTAAGCGTGTATGATCGACTAGAAAGTACTCTAAAACAAGTGAAATTTTAATATATTATTTACAGTAAGTATTAATAACTAATTGAACAGATGCTTTTATGTCTTAGTGTTTATTTTACATTTTAACTATCATCGATAAGCAGAATCAGTTTCAATAGTTTCCTGTATTTCGAATAAATTTTGTGTTATGAAATATTCAGTGAAAATGGAAAAAATATCCATTAATTATACATGCAACGTCTAACAAGGCTGTGCTCGATTCAGTTTCTATAATATTATGTAACCCATTTCAAAATGTTATTTTCTATGCCTAAAATTAAATAAGCAATGAAAAACACCATCTACATTTTTGGCACAAATTTAACCAGTTTTCTTGTTGTTGTCTTTTTTTTTTAGTGCTGTTTCTGTGATTAAAATTTGAAGTTTGTTTGTTTGTTCTTCCAGAAAGAGGTTTTCTCTGACTCATTTGGCATTCGCCAGTGCTGTTTGCATTATCAAATTGCTGGGTTGTCTCGTCATCTCTATAGATTGGAATGTTTTTATAATATGCGTAAGTATTTGTTGTTGCTGTTGTGAAAAGTTGAGATTAGAGCATACATCGAGATCGAGTCGACTGATGATGCTTATCAAGATTGTGGGCGGCTCATTCAGTTTTTATGAGACCCTGTTTAACAATTTTGATGTGTGCAGGGTATGAAAATTGCCATTTGCAGCCAAACTCATTCATATTCATGGCAACTTCCTGCCCTGCTGCTGCTTTCCTCACCCACCACCCGCCTCAAATCAGCCAGCCCGTCCAGTTCATTCATTGCGCCCAGAGCTTATTCGGCTATCCAAAGAATACTCAAAAATAATTTCAGCAGCAGCAGCAGCAGCCGCAGCAGCGAATGTCGGTTCTCATCTTTGTTTTATTTATAACGGTTCTGTTCCGTTGACTTGAGTTCGGTTCGGTTCAGTTCGGTTCGGTGTTCTTGTGTCTCTGTGTAAATTTTGTTTTCATTTTTATCGCGCTTTTATCTAGTTTGTCAACGTTATCAGGCACAAGACCGTTAACAGGGCGAGTCAGCAGCAATACACACACACACACACACACACATAGCGTAATAACACACCCACCAGCCGTCGAACAAACCACCCAATACCCCCCCATCCCTTTCTCCCAGTGTGGACTACAGCTGCGGAACACCACATGGCAATGAAGGCAGTTAGAATATTCACGTATTAGATTTGACGCTTCATTATAATGATAGATCGTTGTGTGCCGTGGCGTATGATACAACAACAGCAACAACAACAACAGCAACAGCAGCAGCAACAACAACTAGAAGCTATCAAACAACAACTATTAAATTAACAACTACAACTAGAGCAACAATGACAACAACATAGTTCTGGCTAACTCTGCGTATGCGCAACTTTTTTAACGTTGCAGCCACTTTGGCGTCGCTTCTATATAATTAATGAGCTGCTCAAATGGCGATCGTTGCGGGTAGTTGTGGGGGGAGAGTGGTAAGGGTATTGATGCGTGTGTGCGTGTGTGTTTGTGGCAGGGGTTAAGCTGCATAATGAGAGAAGTGGGCGCTGCATTGCTTATACACACACATACACAAAAGGATACTAATTGCTGCTGGTTCTCTCTCTCTCTCTTACTCTCTATATCTCTATCTGTCTTACTCTCTCTCTCTCTCTCTCTCTTTTATGCTTTGCAATTAATGTGTGTCGCTTAAGGCCTTAATTGCGTTTGATTGATTGTAACTAGCAGTTTTTGAATGAACATCAACTGTGGCTGCTGCCGCGCCAGAAACTTTGGCAACAACGCAACAACATATGCGACATGTGGCAACAAAGGGCAAAGGTCATGTCGAAAGTATTTGTGGCAAGTTTAGCGCATATTCCACAAAGCGTCGTTTCCGCTTACAATATATGTTTGACATGGCATTTTTCATTAATAGCAAATTTAAAAGAAATACAACAAACACAAGAAGAAGATTAAAATTTATTTTCGTTGCATTCGTTGCAGATTAGATGGACTTAGGCGTTAATTGGGTATTTTGCTAAGGACCTTTAAGCCTTAAAAGTCTGAACACAAAAACAAGTCAAAAGAAAGAACAAAAAACAAGTAAAAATGCTTATTTTAGGCATGCCGAAGATTGGATACAGACCGAAGTTAATCTGCTGACATTTAAATTTTAGTCCAGACACGTTTTAAGCCAATTTAATTTAATTATTTTCCATTTCACGAATGTCTGCAAATTGAATATTCCACATTTGAGTATTTATATTGTATTAGTGTAGGTAATATATACTTCAGCGCCTATCTCGATCGAACAAATTAAAACTGAACTTTTGGTCGATGGTTTATATGGAAGCTATTTGGTATAGTGACAAATCAGACGGAAATATGTCAAGTTGCAAGAAGCTAACTTTGAATCTGAGCAAGTTTTTCTTATTAAAAAATGATTACACAAAATGAGGACATGCCTGTGTGTCTGACATGAACTGATTAAGAATATATATGTATTTTATGGGGTCTGCGACGGCTAGTTCAAGGAATTACAAACTTTACGACAAAATTATGATATCCTCTACGACGGAGGTTTAAAAAAATCTCAATTACGATTTATTAGCCATGACATGTAGGGATTTACTGTGTCCTTACACATATGGATAGCAATAGCATACAATCAGCTCGGCATTGAAAATGTTAAATAAGTTAAAATCCTTAAAGATTCGAAAGCTTAACAGGTCGTAGTATAGATCCATTTATTTTGCACAAGTAAAGCTTCAGACCCAGAATCCGCCTTACTTTGAATGCGATACAAAAAAAATCCAATTTGAGCCTTTATATTTTAAATTACTCCTGTGAGGAGCTGTTTAATAGAAAGTTGCAGCTTGATATTTTGTTCAGCTTTGACAAAAGAAGCGTATGAACGATGAGATAAAAACTTTACAATCATTTTGTGGGAATTCGCTTCAGAGAGCTTGCAGAATTATTAATGTAAAACAATTTATTATATCATATTTGAAAGCAACATCGGCTATACGTCAATCCCCCTTTCAATTTCCACGCAAATGTCTGCCAAAAGAAAAAAAAGACACAAAACTAGAACTAAAGTCAAAAATTGTGCAGCAGTTGTGTGGCACACATTTTGAGATACGAGTGCGTATCTGTCAGATACTCGCAGTCAGTCACAGTCGCCACGCGTTCGCCGTTGGCCTTATGAGTTCAAGTACAACCGGCGACGGGCAAACGGCAACAAAAACAGAAAGAAAAAAAAACAGCAGCGCAACAAGCAGCAGCAAAATAGCGTCAACTATTAGACACTCCAGCTACTCTCCCCTACATCCCCCCTTGGCCAGTCAGTGTCAGTCCCCTTGTTGGCTGTGTGGCAACACAGACAAGCAGAAAATAAAATAACTTTCAACTTTTCAACACATTGCCACAAAAACAAATGTAGAAAAATTCTCTGAACTGCTCATAAATACGCAAAAATCTTGCCCAGAGACAAAAACAATTTTTTGCACAATTTTCAATTAACAACAACAGAAAGGCAGGCAGCATCAGCGTCTTACAGTGGAAAATCGTGTGCCAAAAATATTATAAATTAAATTAAATATGTTTATGTGAAAAGCAGCCATCAAATTGTGAATCTCAACTATTTGAAAAAGCACTTCACAGTTTTTAACTTATGAAAAGCTTGTAAACATTTTTGAAAAGTTTCGTTTTACGTTGTACAATTTTTGGATACAGAAGTTTGAAGTATTTCTCTAAAAGAACTTTTGATAAAATGGATACACAACAAGTTTTATTACACACATCAAAAAATAAAGACAGGTGTTTTATTTAATATTCAACAAATTTCCGGAAATTTATGAGAAATGTTTCTAGCTCTTGAGTTCTTTGATTTTACACGTGAATTCTCTTCAATTTGCTCCACTGTATAAATGTTTAACAGATAAATTGAATTGCATGAAAATGTATCTTGATTTGATTTGTTATGGATGAGATAAACGACAACGAAATCAAATTAAGCAAAAGGAACACTTCGAATACAAATTTTATACCCCTGAAAAGTGAATTTTTCTTTCATTTTGTATTTATTTATATTTTTTTTTGTTTTCTCTGTTACCTGTACTATTGTTTTTGACTTTTAGATGACAGTCGGGATTTGGTTTGGTTGGCCGTTGAACGAATTTCAATTACAGATTTTGCACCCGAATCGCAGCGAGTTAAAAATACAACAAATTACCGTTACGCTTTGTTGCACAGCTTCAACTCCCTGCAGTGCTCAGATCCGTCTCAAGATATATGTATTTATGCATACACATATATATGTGAGAATTTAACACTCGGTCTTTGGGATGATTTACACCTGGGAACTCATCAACTCTAAGTATTTAAGTACTTTTATTCCTATCTCTGTCTGAGCACCAACTATTAACTTAGTCACACACGAGACACACACGCACACTCGCACACTCGCACACACGCACACTCACATACACTAGATGAAACACACACTGACACGCTTAAAACACTTGGCGTATTCGGATTCGGGAGTCTGTTCTACTGAATGTGGAGCGGGAGCTGAAAGACTTTTTCAGTTTCTATCGAGCAGTTGAGCACTGAAAACGCGACCGAACGCTTCGGCGTGCGACGAATGTCTGGTTGGGAAAACGACAACGAAAATGCAAACTGAAAATGAAAATTTCAGAGCTCTGGCCGAGAGAGATACTGCCAAATGAGAGCAAGCTAAACAAACAGAGAGAGAGAGAGAGAGAGAGAGAGTGAGGGTAAGAAAGAGAGAGGACGACCTTTGTTGAAGCATCGCGTGCCGTTTGTGTGTGTGTGTGTGTGTGTGTGAAGGTGAGCTGCTGTGTGTTTTTGGGTGTGTGAGTGAGTGCTTGCAAAATGTCAAATTGTAAATAAACGAAAATGCCCAAAACAAACTGTTATACTAAGGAACAGAGACGGATAATGGGGGACTTCGAGAGACCTATTTTGGGGCTATGCGTGAATGTGTAAAAGAAATCTCATAAGAGTCTTAAAAAATAAAACTGTTTTTCAAGTAAATTACACAAGCACGAAATATTCAAATCAGAGGTGAGTTTTGTAATGCATTATATGCATCCAAAAGTATTTTGAAAGAGAGAAACTGGATTATTTTATTTCAAATATTAAACCCTGAAAGACAACTAAAATTCATCACTTACAATAGAAATAAGACTAGATCCAGTTGCTGTTGCTTATTTCGTATTCTATTTTGGTTGCAGGCACTTTATTTTGAATTTTTGAATAAATACATATTTATTTTAATAATAATTTAGTAATTTAATTTCAATTATTTTATTAAAAATTTAAATTCAATTTCTTCCGCTTTGTTCAAATTTTAAATGTTTTACATTTACTTATGAAGCTAACAGTTACTCCAACAAGAACCGCTCCCTCTTTAACAGCCGCCACTGTAATTGCAAATTTATGCGCGCCCACCCCAAAGCAAACTTGAACTGTTATACGCGAGCTTTTTTCTTTTTCTTTTGCTAAGCTGCACACACAAGTTGCGGCTGCTCTCTCCCTCTCTCTCTCTCTCTCTCTCTCTGTGATGAGAGCAGCTGGTGCGAGCACAGGTTTGGTGAGCTATGTTTTTGTTTTGGAAAAAGCTGCCACTGCAAAGCTAGCATGTTTTGATAAGAGGAGCGCTCTCTCACTCTCGCTCTCTCTTGACGCTCTTGTTTTCTTTTACCTTTATTCTTTTTTTTGAATAAACAAGCGGCACAACTCAACTAAAAAGCGGTTACGTGCGAAGGGGAGGGAGCGGCATTTGACAATAGTTTTTGCATAGTTCTCGCATCTGGGAGTTGTGAACGACAAGTGGGCCCCAAAGTAGGCGTGTCAGTCAGGGATGTGATGTCGACAGCGACGCCGGCATCGCTGTCCCGCTGCTGCTAACTAATCAACGACAAAAACGGGCAGAAATCAAATAAAATTTACCAATTTGGTTTGTTTGTTTGCGTTGCTTGCCTGCTTGCTGGTGGTTGGTATCGCTGCGTGTGTTTGTGTGTGCTGTGTGTGTGTGTGTGTGTGTGATGTGTGTGTGTGTGCCTTAATTTGAATTTTGAATTACAGTTGCAGTTAAGAATTTTTATATTTGAATTTAATTTTAATGTGTTTCGGGTCGGCGTACGTGAGTAAATAGCGCCAAATAGCTTAACGAACCGATTGAAGAACGCGCGCATGTGCGCCACAAAATGTGTGTGTGTCTGTGTGTGTGTGTGTGTGTGTGTGTGTGTGTGCGGGGGAGGGGTGAATCGGAGACACGATATATGATATATGATTTGCACCATTAACTCGATTGTAACAATGCTCGCATATGGGGCATGCAATGGGGATGGGTCGCAAAATCCTCGAATGAAGAATGCCTGACCCACATTTCAGCTGATTGACAAGGTGAAATGCGTAGATACAAAAAATGTATTTCACATATTCGTGCACTTTTTTCAATACCCATTAAAACATATTGTCAAAATGGTCGTAATATCACATACATTTTGGCAACAGAGAAAATATATGCATATATCAATTATTTGTAGAGTAGTTAAAGCAATGTTTCCATATCTATCCCTCTTTGGGGCAAAGTTCTAGGGCTAGAATATATAGAGGAATACAGAATACAGTATGACAGAGAGAGAAAATAGATATTAATGATTTTGGGAGTAGTTCAAGCCATGTTTTCATACTTGTCCCTCTATGGGGTAATGTGGATAAAGCCCACAAACTTTTGTTCTCGCTTATCTATCGCATATCTATTTATTTCTGAAAGTCGACAATGTCTTTATTTATTTGTGTTTTACTTCTTACAATTTAGACTTGAATGGTCTGTTTTCATTTAGCCGGCAATTATTTATTCATGTTTTGCTGAAATGCGTATTTATTTAAGCACAATCAGTAAGAAAATACGCCTAATGGATTCATTCTGCTCTGTTAAAACACTTCACAGGGTATTTCCACTGTCGAGCACTCTCAAGTGCACACTTGTTGTTGTTGTTATTTTTTATGAAAATACACACACAGAAAGAGAATTGCCGAGTGCTGCACGGCTTTTAAGCTGCCAGCTGCTGCTGTTGCTGCTGATTGATTGTTGTCCTCAAGGTCGCCAAACGGACACACACAAAAGATATGCAAATCCAGTGACAGCTTTTGTTGTGTTTCATTGCGCTACCCCTAAAGAAGCAGAGAACACACTCTAACCTTTAACCCCTCCCCCCACTCGCTCTCTCTCTCTCTCATCTCCGCCCCCTCCCAATCTTCATCTCTCTCTCTCTCTCTCTACAGAAACTATGAACTATGCCAATCGCTTGGTTTTTGCCCCGTAAAGTTGGCCGAATTATGGCACAAAGCACTTTCGTTGCATATTTATTCGATCATAAAGTACATCAGCAACAATAACAATAGCAACAACAAATGCAACAACAACAACAACAATAACAACAAGAACAATAACAACATCAACAAGTACAATGGGCAGCAGCGACTACAACAATAATTAGGCAGACATTCCATAGTAGTTTGAAGTGAGGGGGTGGGTTGTTTTTTGGGTTGCGTGTGGTGGTTAGGCCAACTAAATAAATTTCACATTGTTTATTTTTTCCCAAACAAATCAGCGCACATTAAAAACAGCGAAGCGCCCACAAAATATTTCCCGAATAACATTAACATCCGGCGAGGAGTCCAGATTCGAGCAACTTTCGATTATTCTTTCTTATTTCTTGTTTTTTGTTTCTATTCGCTTTGAAGCCAACCCAGGTGCTGTAAAAGTTATGCCAAAGGTCACGTTTAATACTTGGAACACTTCACTCAGACAACGGTAATAAATCATGGCAAAAAAAACATATTTGAAAATAATAAATTTTCAGAAACGATGTAGTTACTAAATTCTAAATAGATAAAAAATGATTAATTGCTTAATGCATTCATACAAATTGTATATTTGCGGAATCTTGAGTATATATCTTCTTAGAAAGGTAATTATGAATAAATTTGGCAGCTAATGTAAAGCTGATTTTATCACATCTATAAGAAAATTCCAGTTATCTTATTTGATTTATCTTAATCATAATTATCAAGAAGACTCAATATGAATTATGAAGCAATTTGACAGGATTATGTCAAAATTGTTCTTTAAAATCTACAAGCAACTTTTAACTAGGTCTGAGGAAGAATTCACTTAGTTTATTAAAACTTATGTCAGTCGAGCTAATAAATCTTGAGCAAAATAGCGAATTGTTGGGCTGATATAAAAGTTTTAAAAATTCATAAATATAATTATCTGTTATTTGTGCTTAAAATAGTTTTAATTGTGCCATAAAGAATTTTCGGTAAAATGTGTGTAGCAAATACTAAAAATGTATATTATGACTTAAATGATTCATTAATTCATTATTCATTATAACATGTTCAGTTCACGTTGATACTAAATAAAATCTTGACATCTAACCGCAAAAATGTACATTTGAGTTGGCAAACTGTTTAAAACTATGGAACCACATAGATAAGCAGTGGCTTTTAATGACTCGCCTCAAAGACCAGTATTTATTTGAATTGCTCTAGCAACTGATTTGCCAGCAATTATTTTTGTTAAACATAGAGCTAAATAGTTCCCTTGTCATATTACGTAACACATTCTTATCATTCATAATAGTACAACATAATAATATAGAAAAAAAAGAAGAAAAAAAAAAATGAAAACCCGTTTGGGGTGTTTTTTTTTTCTTTAGTCATTTAGACGTGTCGTATGTATTTACATTTGATTATGCCACAATGCCCCGAGTTGCTTATACACAATTACATTCCACTTACAAACAAACATATGAATTCAATGCGAGCAAAAACCGCAAAAGCCGCAAAAACCAGCTAAACATTTCAGCTCGACCCAGAAATAGTTGCAAATGTACTCATCGGCCCTAGAGGCGAGTGCTGAAGTGAAATTAACATAAAAACACTCGCAATCCTCATGATAATTCTCCTAATAACGAAGCCAAATTTATCAAATGTAGGACACAAGAACAAAAATATTAAAATAAAGTATGTGTGTGTGTGTGTGTGTGTGTGTTTTTTTTGGACTTTGGAACAGGAACTTAATAGTATTGTACTTAAATAATAAAAGTCAGACAACGCAAAAACAATTGGCAAAATGATGAGAAATTAACATTTTACGTGATTCAAAGTACAATTCTCTACGAAAGATACAAATACCGAAAATAAACCGGAAGGCAAACTGTCGGGGGTGCAAATGGGGGGTGGCTGAGACGCAGGGGGAGGCGAAGGAGGAGGCGGGAGACGGGGGCAATAGACCCGAGAGTCCCGCAATCGTTTTCGTTGCGCGTGTCAAACTGCACACAGAAAAGAACGAAATGCAGGCAATCCAGTAGAATTATAATATATATATATATATATATATATATATAGTCTATTCGTAATAAATGATTTATTTTTAAAACATGCCGCTGATGACGTCGCCACGAGTCAAAAAGGATGGGAATCAAACACGAGCGCAAAAAAGAAAAACAAAACAAAAAGAAAAACAAACAGCAGGAAGAAAATTTTGTGGTTTTTTATTCTGTCTTAGATTAAATACCCTTTATATATATACACAGATCTAAATGATTAAATGATTATGATTACTACGACTACAAACAAACAGTAAAATTAATTATATATCCATCTATATATATATAGAGCTGAAAAGTCGACTGACTTATGGCTACAGATAAATAATACCATTTTGGCGGTCTCATTTTGAAAATATTTTTATGGCCACAAACATAAACAAAAGAAATTCAAAAATAATTAAAATCATTTCAACGCTTAATTCATATAAAAATACTTAGGATATCGTTAAGTATAAATTACTTGTTCACGCCATAACTTTTTTAATCGATCATTTCTTGGGACGTTACACGCTGGGTGTGGGTACGAGGATACCCTCATAAAGTGTAAAGGTTAGCACACAAAATATGCCAAAACGCGCCGCCAGGTGGCGAGTGAGTGAGAGTGAGAGTGAGTGATGCGTGGGGCACAGACTTGGTTACAAAGTTGAGGAAGGGAATTTGCTGCGTGAAACCGTTTAATTTATTAATGAGATTTATTAATAGGTTCGCTGTCAGGTGAAAGCTCAGTAGGTTCCGACAAGGTCGGCGGCTTGTCGAGCTCACAGGACGAGCTCTAAGATTGAAGATGTAAGCACCTGGTTCCACCCAGGCCGTTACAAATGATTCGCCTGTGTTTGTTGGTGTTCGTTTGTTTATGTGCCGCGGGGTTATTGTAATTAAACTGAAAATTATGCGCCATTTTTATACACTTGAAATATTCGCGTGTGGTTATGTCCTCAAGTTCCACGAACCCGCCCCCCAACCGGGTTCAAAGGGAGGTGGGCGATTGCCTACGAAAATTATTTGTTTGTGGTTTGCTCTGCATCTACGTCTGTTAAGTGTTTAGGTGGGAGGGGGGAGAGTGGGTGCTGCGTGTGCTGCGGGTGTGGTTGCGGGGGCTGAGTGGGGCTATGAGAAAAACAGACGCCAGCGTCGGCGACGCATAAAACAAACGTGAGACAAGATAATGGGCGTGTTTTGCTGCTACACGAGGCATATGGCACATTAACAGAGATATACGACGAGCCAAGTCGCAGAGTGGCAATTAAATAGCCACCTGATGCTTTCTAAATGATGCATTACCACCATGCATGCACCGCACCGGTGGCAAATGAGGCACTCGAGTGGTGTAATATGTGTGGTGCATCATGACAAAGGGAATTGCCTCTAGGCAATAATCGAAGTGAGGCTCTTATCATCGACATCACAAGCAAAACAAATAAATATAAATCTGGCTAAATTCCTTCAATCGTCCCAAGTTAATTCTCCAATAGCTTAAGCGAAATTAATTAAATGAAGCCGCCACAAAATTCCATAATATTTTCTGAAGTATTCCACAAATTCAAAATAATAAAATCCAAAAATAATTATTCAATGATAGAAGAATCTCAGAACATTTATTTAGAGTATAGTCCACCAATATTAAATAGAAATGCTAAAATTATCATGCGTATTGCGGAGCTAACTAAGACCAGGAACCGGAACAATAATATCATTGTGGTAGCGTAAGGTCAGTGTTCTGATTGCAACAATCAGTTGGCAGATGCTCAAACCTGTTGACCCTTGTCAACCTTTTCGAAAGCACGCATTTCTAATTATCACATTTAGTTCGTTCAACATTTTGTTGAAGAATACGTTTCGAATAATCTTTGCAATTAACTTGGCGCTTCGGCTCATCTCTGGTCATCTTTCGTTCCAAGTGCAACTTTGACAGGGAGATTGGATTCCAGAGACGGGGGGAGTGGTTCACATTGCTATCTGGCACTTAATTCGTTCACCTTCAGTGCGCAATGCATCTACATTCCCCCTGGCTGCTCTGCTCTATCGATTTGGTTTCTTTCTGCCAGATAAGGCCGGACTTAATCAGAAGCTTACAGAGCTTGCCTGCTGATTAAGCGAATGCACGTAACGTTAACATCTTGCCGCTCTCCTCTGCGCTGCTTGCCTGCGAGTGTGTAGCGACCCACCCACCCACGCATTACAGCGCCCTTTTACAGAGTACTTCATGTTAATTGGCATTTTATTGCTGTTGCCCGAGCGACAATCAACCAAAATAATAGCAGTTAGTAGCAGCAGGAGAAGAGGAAGCAGCAGCAGCTGCTTTAGCGCCGGCAGCGGTTACGGCATCTTAAGCATTACTCGCAATGGCAAAGCTCGGCTCAGCTGGGCGCGTGAGAGAGTTGATCAATGCTGTGGGAGAGAGTTATGCGCGCTCTCTCTCTCTCTGGCGAATTGTTATTGTTGTTATTATTGGTGCTAGCAGCTTATGTTATTCAATAATTTGTTTGCGTTCTAAATTTTGGTTTTGTTTGCTAAAGCACACACATTTAAATACACAGATGCAGACGCAGCAGTCACTCATAGATATTTGCCCATTTGTCAATTAAATAAAATAAAATACAATTAATTACCTTTTGCGTGAAATATGCACGAGAGGAGAGACGCAGCAGAGACAGAGTAGAGCCAGATAGAGCAAGAGAGAAAAAGAGAGAAAGAAACTAAGAAAGCGAGAGGGTTAGCCAAAGAGCTTTTATGGCGCCTGCTGCAATCCTCCCTCTTGATGTGGCCGGTGTCGGCTGCAACTACGACGCTGGTGAGAGAGACAACTTAAGAGAGTAAGCGAGCGACAGAGAGAGAGAAAGAGCGAGCGAATGAGAGAGCAGCTGCTCTGCTAGTCTCTGTTATGAAGTAATAACGATGAAAAAATTGCCTCACTCAGAAACACAGACACAGACACACACACACACGCAACACTTTTGTGCTTGTTTGTTGTTATTGTTATTTTAATGAGAATCGTTTTTATGTTTTACGTGCACAGCAGCAGCAGCAGCAGCAGCAGCAGTAGCAGCAGCAGCAGCCGCCGTCAAAAATACACAAGAGCTAAATGCATATGCAATACAAAGTCACTCACAGATTTTTTATTGTATTTGCTTTTGATTGGCTAATTTTTTTGCGTACAATTTCTTCCTGCGGAACTCACGCGATTTAATTTGATTGAATTCATTTGATTTAATTATTTTTTATTTCTATTCGTTTAACACTTGAGTATTGTAAAGAGATTTTATTTTTATTTTATTTTTTTTAATTGTAAAAATCTTTGGTTTATATTATTGTTATGTGCACCAATGCGGCAGCTCAGTAAAATGCAGCCTAAAAAACAATAACAATTGTTAAATTCAAGAAAATAAAGCCACCACGCGACGACGACGACGACGACGAAACGTCCGTCCACAGCAAAAGTTTCTCGCGTTTTGACAGTTTGAAAGTAAACCCAAAGCATTTCAAGTACTAAATAAAGGTAACAGTTCAAATCGCGACTCCAAAATACCCTGTCTGCAGAATTTCAAACTTAGTGAATAATGTATCCAAACTTACTAACCAATTGTATTAAAGGTATATTAGACTTCATTAAAAGTTACGATTCGAATTTGGAAATGTTATGATTTTGAAGAGACTTGGATATTTAAATTGTATAATCAGTAAAATCGTTGGGTCAGTCAAAAGCAGATATATGAGATAAACTGAATAAATACTGTGAATCCAAGTGGTTAACGTTGTACCGGGCATATAAGAGATTTTTTTCATTTGATTTGCACATAATGTGGCGAACTGTGTACAGAGCTAAATATACCCTTCATAACGTTTTCTTACAGGGTACTGTAAGCAAGTATGTGTGACAGAGAGAGCATGCGCAGGGCGCAACAGTTGCAGGGAGAGTAACATTGTTTATGCAAACCGCTAACAGAGCGCTTAGATCAGTTTTAAAAGTGGCTAAAACAATTGCAATGTTTATGTCATAGAAAATATGAAACAATACATTTTTGTAAACGTTACAAATAATAAAAGCAAAGTTAAAAATAAAGAAAACCAAGCAAAACGATTTTGAGTGTGGCCGTAAAATAACTGAAAGCTCACCTTTGTGCATGACCAGATGGTCACCCTGATAGGCATGCGTGAGCGTACATAAGGCTTTTACGTACAGTGTTGGGCAATTTCTTTTGTAGATGTTGCGCGAGATTTGAATCGCATTATATATTCTCCATCAGATAAAGACTACTTCGATTTTTACGCATTGAAAGAATTATTAGATAGTTTAGTTAAGTAAATTATTGATTTTGATTTCGATTCAAGTGTCTGTGTCTGGTTCCTAGATGAACCAATAATCGCTGAATGCATTTTGCTAGGGTTCATTCCCGCGATTCTAACGCAAATCGTCTTTTGAAAATCTGTAAGGATTTGGTCGAGTTAGAGACTTTCTCTTGTTGTTATTTGCCCCCAAAAGTATGCCCTGTTTTTCGATTAAGTCCGTATAGCAACCTCATTTGTGTCCATGGTGCGTGTCCATACTAAACAACAAACAAAAATAAAATAAAAAAACAATTGATAGTTTTGTATGTATATATTCCATATATTTTGCATATATATATTTATATATGTTAATTTGTTGGTTTTTGTTTTGTTTTGTTTTCTTTTTTTAATTTTACACAATAAAAATGATGATGCTTCTCAACAAAAACAATTTGTGGTACTTATGGTAGAATTCATAGATCAATTTGTGTCGATAACTCGAAAAGAGCTCTTTAATTTTGTATGCTAAATGTGTGTGTTCATTTTATTATTTTTTTTTTTTTTGTATTTAACTAGTATATCCGAAAATCTTGCACATTTTTGTTTGGGTTTGAATTGTTCATCGATATCAGCATTTTATTAAATAGTCATTAATCGCATAGTTAATTTTACGTTACGTTAGATCGGTAGATCGAGAATTATGCTTTTGTAAATAATATATGTACAATGGAAGTAGCAGTTATTTTTCGCATTTGTTTTTCTTTTTATATGCTGAGTCATCTCTCGTGGACCACTGCTTCCAACTTAAATATTTAACGTAATTCGTTAGAAGTATTTAAAGCAACTTAGACTTAATGTTAAGAGTTGGTTGGTTGTTTTCTGCTTATTATTTATCGATTGCAGCTAAAAATTATCGAGGGTTTTAACTTTAAAACATATACATAATAGATGGTGTATATCATTCTATATATATATACTTCTATGTAGTAATTTAGTTATATTTCGTGTTTTCTGCTTTTTTGTTTTCCCATTTTTTTTTTGTAATTGGTTATAAAGTGCTGATGAGGTTTGTGATGAATAAAACGAGAGTCACAGGGTTGCCAGGTGCGACTCCAAAATAGGGTTTTGTAAGCCACACACAAAAAGACATTGCTACATTTAATTGAATTGAATTTAAATCGTGTTGATTATCGTGGAATTAATTTGTATGCAGCGAGTGTTTGAACTTTAACCTGTAACTGTAACTGTGATGTACGCTAATCGATAGCTCGCTCTCTCTCTCTCTCTCTCTCTCTCTCCCCTCTCTCTCTCTCTCTCTATCATTCGCTCTCTTTCTACTTATGTTAAGGATTATGGTTTTGCATCTGTGGGGATTATTTTTGGGGATGTGGGGGGGTTAACATTGCGTTAAATATGCTTAAAGACTTAAATACTATATATTTGGTGTACCTTTTTGAGTTTTGTGTTCTGTGTTGATTCGTTTTTACGTGTTTTTTCTTTTTGTTTTTTTGTTTTTTTAGTTTGTAACTGTTATACATATATGTGTATGCTAACTGTAATAATAATTCAACTTCGCCTTCTGCTTCGATCTTTCAGCTTCTCAAACCGCATTCTACTTTCTCTTCGAGTTTTAACAGCTATCCAAACTAATTATAATACAGTTTTGCTGCGGGCCTGCCCCGTAACTAATCCAACAACAAAAAAACGACGCTCTTCCAAAGTGTTATACACGGCACAGTGGTTCCCTCTGCTTCCCCTCTCTTCCGACTTCCTTTGTATATGTGAAGGGAGGTGGTTTCTTTTTCTTCCCCATTTTCTGTCTTATCGCGTTAGACGCACTTTAGATGGGCGATATGGAGAGCGGCGCCGTTGCCGTATCCGGCATGTATTCCTTGAGTAGATCCCGCAGCCGCAGAATCTCACGTCCGGCGGCAGCAAGATCGCCCTGCAGTGAAAGTTCCCGTTCCCGCAGTCGCTTTATGTCGCGCTGGCAGGTCTGAAAGGTAGTCAATTAAACCGTGAGTTGGCAGCACTTTTCAGATTCATTTCAATCTTTCAACTTACCACATTCTGACGCAGAAGATCGAGTTTGTCGCACTTGAGCCGCGTGACCTCTTGTCGCAGATTCTCAATCACCATGATCGTCTCGTTGCTCGGCGAGCTGCCCATCATGGTGCTCTGCACACCATCGAGGCACAGGGAACAGGCCTTTGTGGTTGCCTCCGCTGAGCTCATGCTCTCCAGGCCCGTGTCGCTATCAATGTAGGCGGCACCGCCATCCAAATGGCCCATCATTGGATCCAGATCGACGCTATTCAGACTGGAATCATCGCTCGTCTCGGACATCGTGGCCACGGCCACGCCCACAATACCGCCATTCTGGGCGGCACTGACGGCAACAGCAGCAATGCCGCTGCCATTTTGTTGAACGACTCCGCCAGCGGTTGAGGGATGTCCACTGTTAATATTGTTGTTGTTGTTGTTCGCCTGTCGCGAAGTGATGTCCGGCGACGAGGATGTGGATTCATTCGAGGATTTCGACTTTGATGACGACTTGGAGGCCGTACGACTGCAGGTCTGTAAGGGAAGAAGAGCGGGCAGGGGATTAGCAAAGAGTCTAATGGGAATACAAAAGCTTCTGCACAGCGAAAACAATAACTGCAATGGATGCATTTTGAGGATTAATTAGTAGTGCTGACTTCGGATTTCAGTTGTACTCACATTGAGATTGGGCGTTTGGGTCTCTGGTTGTGGCTCCTTCTTGGAGTTGAGGGTGCCACCCTTGTTGTGGCCGATCAGCTTGTCGGGATGCCCCCCGTTGCCAGTGTCAACGCTCTGGGAACGCACACGCATGATGAGTGCCTTCTTTACGGTGTCTATGAAACGGGAGCCGGCATTGCCGCCGCCGCCGCCGCTCTCGGATTTGGGTGTCTCGGGGGTGGGACTACCGGCGAGTGTCTGCGACATATCAGCTCCGAGAAAGTCGCGCGTCTTCTCCTTGAGCTCCTCGACGAGGTTCTGTAGCAGGGAGGTGCGCGTACGCAGCTCCAGCTTGGCAAACTTCTCGGCCTTGTAGCAGGCGTTCTCCGCATTGATCAGCTTGGTAAGCAGAAACTCCTTAAACTCCTGACCCTTGCGGAATACAGCCGGGCTGGGCAGCGTTGGCCCAAAGAAGGGCACATCATCCCGTGCCGCTACACTGACCTTGTAACGGGTGTGCGGCGTATTCGGCTCGACCGGCTGCACCACAATGAACGCGTGCAGAAAGTGACTGGCAATCATGTCCGGCGAGAAGGGTGTGTTCGTCTCCTGGAACACGATCGCAACGATGTCGTTGCCAATGTGCCGCTTGCGCTGCAACTGCTGCGGATCGCCCTCGGTGTGTGGCAGCAGTGTGGAGACATGGAACATCACCTCACGCTCCTTGAACACCTCATAGACGGCAGTGTCGCCCGTGTGCCCATTCTGTATATCCAGGCCGCCGCGATAGCCCTTGTGCTCCTTGAGCCGAATGCGCTGGCCGAGCACATCGAGGAACTCCTCGAAGGCCGGCGATGTCTGCTGGTTGCCAAAGAGCTCCTCTTCGGTGGTCTGGCCATATCTTTGGTACAGCACACCGAACTTGAAGTGTGAGACGAGCACATGCTCATCATACACCTTGATCAGTTGCGATGCCTTCGGGCACAGTACGGGCATAAAGTTGTCCACCTGAAGATGTTCGTTGAGCAGCCGCACCATCTTGGCCGGACTGGGTTGGGCGCCCAGACAGTAGACGGGCATTAGTTCGTGCATGGTGCCGGTGCGCAGACGTAGAAGTATTCGCAAATGCTCCTGATTCGCCACATTCTCCGTCTTGATCGAGATGAGCACGGGGCCCAGCTGTTCGTCGTGGCCAACGAGATTGGAGTGCTCGCGTGCCGCATAGAAACGGCGATAGCACTTGGCCGTGTCATCCGTCTCGAATTTGGCCATCCAGGTGGTTTGGGGCAGCTGGGGATTGCCACGGGCATCGTAGCTGCACTCGTGCTCGGTGCCATCGAGCCAGTAGCCGCCGTGCAGCGGCAACAGGATCATCGGATATGGCGCCGATTTGGTCAACGCATCCTCGAGCAGACGCTGCGAGGCGGGTATGGCCGACACAATCGATGAGTTCGACGATACCGACGAATGTGACTGATAATGGTGTCCATTGGACAGCAGCTGGCCGCCTGTCGCACTCACCACACCGCTCAGCTGCGGCGATGCCGGTGTCGAGCTGGACGCAGACCCAGAGATGGAGCTACCGGACTGATTCATGGGATGGCGCAACGTTGGCCTCGATCCCGAATGTTGCACTCCACCGCCATTGTGGGCGATGCCATCGTGCGGTGAATGTGGCTGTGGCACACGCTCCTCACTCGCATTGCTGCCGCGATGATGCTGCAACAAGGAGAGAAAATCAAATTAGTTTCTCTGCCAAAGACTATAATTACAGGGTATATAACAGCAAACAGCTGGCGTTAGCTGTCTGTCTATCTGTCTGACTGTGTGTGCGTCTATGTGGGCAGAGGCACACTCCTACATACGAGTGAGAGATAGAGAGAGAGGAAGAGAGAGAGAGAAAGAGAGAGGGAGAGAAACAAGGCGCATGGCTGCATTATAATTTCATGCAATTATCGTCAAGGCACCTCTCTAGGGGCACTATGTAAATGATGTGTGTGTTTGCGAGTGTGGATTTGGATGGATTGGTTAATGGCAGCGCTGAGGCCAGGCTGCCTGGCAATTTGCTCTAAGCAAATATGGGCAGATGTGGGCGGCTTTTGTGCGGTTTGGATTACGTGCTGAATTCAAACTTAGTCTGAATGTGCATGTGGATAGCGAACGGGATCGGGATCGGAACGGGGAACGGGAGATAGGGATAGGGTCTGAGGGGGGAGGGTCTTTTGCAATGTTGGCGTTGTGTCAGTTAAATTTGTGGATAATATTAAGCCAACATTTTGATTTGACATGCACATCCTTTGACTGCGCGCAACAGCAGCGGCGCCAGCTTTTGTGGCTATTGTCTAGTCGGTGCCCAACCCAAAAAAAAAGAAGAAAAACTCCTAGCTCCCCTAACCAGCCCGACAGGTCCATAGGGTGCGTTCGCCCCTAACCAGCGAGCATATTAAAAAGTTCTTTTATTTCTGCTGTCCCTGCGAAAGCATTTCACAGCTGGCTTGCAGCCAAATGTGGCACGTAACGACTGAAAGAATAAAAGTTAGTTTAGCTACGGGGTTGAGTCGCTCCCTTTCTCCTCTCTCTCTCTCTCTCTCTCTCTCTCTCTCTCTCTCTCTCTCTCTGCCTCTCTCTCTCTCTGGGTTTCTTTGTATTTTTTCGGGTTCATCGATAGTTCGTGCCTTGATTTAATGGTCTGCCAGCTGCCAAATGCAACTGTTGTTCAATAATATGCTTGAAGATTGCCTGATTGAACGTGTCATTAGGGTTAGTCAGCAAAGGAGATGGGGAGAGAGAGAGTTAAGGAACTAGATAGCGAAAGAGATTATGAGTGCAAATCTAATTTAGAGTTGACAAATTGTGACATCTTTACCTGCTTGATAAATGGATATCAAAATAATCTTTCTATTGACCAGGCGGATTACTTCCAAGCTAATAAGGAAAACCCTTTTCTCTACATAAAAGGAGTGCTCTTAAGTCGCTTTTAAAATTTCAGTATTTATAATGTAATTTATGATTTTAAAGACAAAAAATTTCACAGAAAATGCGCTCTCTCTCTATAAATTAACGTCTATTGCTGTGCACAAGCATTTTCACAATTATATGATACCCCCTTAATGCATTTTTAATGCGAGCAGGCTCTAATAAAAGATTGTGAGATTGTTTTTTTTTCATTCGTAGAGACCTTGATTATGATGAAAACGTTGATTTTGATGTATTTCAAAATGCATTTATGCAATGCTAATATTTAAAGTGCACTTTAAATGCAGTTTACTGCACAATTTGTGGCACGCTAATGAGCACATTGTCATCTCGAATGTGCGGTGAGTGAATGCAGTCAGTCATTCGATTCGGTTTAGTCAATAAATGCAACCCATTTGAAGCGTTGAGCGTGTGAATTGAATATGCAAATGTTGCACGACTTTTGATACCATAAATTTCGATGTGGCAATTGAGGAAAAATTAATGAAATATTTTGTTGTTGTTGTTGTTGCTTTTGTTTAGTTGTAACCCGAGATGGGTTTAATGCGGAGGGTGCTCTAACTAAATGGGAGTTGAATTGGGGTTCGGCTCTGGGTCTGGGTCTGGTTTTGGGTCTGGGACTGTGTCTGAGTTTGGGTCTTTGAGCCTTGTCGTCACACGCTTAGTTGGCTTCATTTGCTGTCGTTGTTGTTGTTGCTGTTGCTGTTTGCACCACGCAACCCCCAGCCATGAGTGTTCCGAGTAGATAAATAGATGGATAAATAGTTCCGACATTCAGACGCTGTTTGTCTGGTTTTGTCTAGCTTATTGGTTAGCCATTTAGTGCCGAATGGTCGGGGTCGGTGTCGGGGTTCGGGGTTCGCATGACTCATCCGACAATGACCAAAACTTAATTTCCTTTTTGTCAGGAGTGCCGACGACGAGAGCGGGCGGGGTTTGGTTAATTGGAACTGGGAATGTGTCAAGATATGTTGAGTCTAATTTGATGAGATTTCAACTGTCTAATGGGCTAGATGAAGATGATGGGGAGAGCAACCATGTCTGCCTTTTGTCTAATTAAAAACGCACGGATGGGCACAAGTATATCTAAATGCGCGGGGTGAGAAGGCGGCAGCGAGTTTGTGAGAAGCTGCCACTCAAATGTATTAAGAACACAAGTGGAAAAACTTACAAACAAAAAAAAAAAAAAAGAAGAAAACAAATAAATAAATAAACTGAAATTGTAATGAATTTAAGTGGGAAAGCATAACGAATGCAACAAATACAAATACAATTGCCAAGAATGGGCAAAACTGCGATCTAATACAGAAAGCAGAGAGAGAGAGAGATATATAAAACTGTATACGTACATATATGCACATACATCTTGACAATTATGATGATCTCGCCAAATGCTCATCATGATGTTTATGGCGCTGTGCCGATTCTTGAGAACTTAAGCGGATTACATGGAAGGCGAGCGCAGAGAAAAGTGTTACGAGCATGAAGAATGAAACCGATGACTTTTCGGGCCATATGCGTATTCGAGGTTAGTGGGGTTTCTAGATGGCCGCGCGGTTAGTGCGGAGTGGATGAGGAGGGAGTGTGAGGGTTACTGGGTGCCAGACAAGTCGCAGCCAACCCCTTTGCATTGAGCAGGCCATATAAAAAATGTGGAGACGATTTGCATAAGTCGAAGGGCAGGCAGTCTTCAACAGACCCTGAACGATGATGTCTATACCCCCTAAAACCCTACCCCTGCCTTCTATCCCCTTCCCTTGCCAGCATGCGGATGCTTCAAATCCTGTGAGAGAGACGGCAACGTCAACAACGTTGTTTGTGTTGCCATTGTTGGTTGCTGCCTCAAGTGCAGGGCCCCCGTCATTAAAAAAATGTGCATTTTGCATTTGGCGGGGGCGTTGAAATCTTTTTGCCTGACATTAAAATGAAAACAAAGTATATGAAAAAAGAAAACAAAATACAAAGAAGGAGAACAAGAGCGAGGAGGAGCTGAAACAAAGCACAGGAAGCCGACTTGTGCGATGTTTATACAGCGAAAACGAGTGGGGTGGGGTACGGGCCAAACAGTTTGACAGCCAGTGCTTGTGAAAACCAATGTTGTTCATCACATATGCAGCGCACATTTTGTAAGTTTGGGGCGAAGAAATTGTGGCACATGATTCTAGCGAAGCGTAAAAAGAGTTGCAAGCTAGCTCAAGTGATTGATATATGTATGCGATATACTCAATATATATATATATATATATATATATTTGTATATATGCACGCACGTGCAAAGTGCCAGACAAGTCTCGCAGCAAAGCCAACTTCTTTGGCCAGAGTCTTTGGGCTGGGAGTCGCTCTTAGCCATAAGCTATAAGCCAAATTCCACCCACACACACATACACACATGACACATGATTTATGTTGTGAGCCAGTGACAAACTTGCTGCAATCGTGTTATTCCTCAATGCTGTTGTTGCCGTCTCCAGTGGGGCATAAAATGATAAATAATATATGGCAGAATATGCATATATAGAAATGTACTTTATTTGTAGCCGTTATATGCACCCACATGTGCATAAATATATCAAATCAAAGTCGCATAAATCAACAACCAGGCAAATAAATCACACAAGCGACTGTCAAACTGACAGTGCAGCTCAAACTACACGCTTGAAACTGTAGAATTTCAATTGTTGCTGTTGGAATTAATGCAGCTTACAGCTTGTCACACACTTCACTTTCAAGCTTAATCCCTGCAGAAATTTAACTAAGAAATCATATCTTATAGGCATGGGAACACAATAATTTAACTACAAGTTTTATGGGCTTTTGGCATACAAGCATATTTTACACATCTTCTGAACAGTTTTACAGCTTTAGAAGCCATTGCTAAACAAAATAAAAATTATTAACCCATTTATATTAAGGCAATTTTAAGTGAAGCGCTTTAGAGTTTTAACCTATATCTTTAGCCACAAGTATTTGGCTATTTTCTCGCACTTGGAAACCGTTTAAAAGTGGCGTCGTTTACAGTAAGTTAACAATTTTTTTGTTTTTTTTTTCGTAACGGCCGTTGCACGTGAGTTGAGTGCCAAAATAGCTGGCTGTAAACGCTTTCACACATTCAATTAACACACATATATGTGTGTATCTATGTACATATCTACACACTTTAAGCACGTATGTGCCGCTGAAGGGTTTTATGCGGCTGCTCGAGTTTGGATCCCAGGTTCTTATCGCGGTCCGTTTCTCATTATGGGATTGACATTTAACTGTTCCCCAATCAGCGTCTGAATTCTTAGAAATGTTCTGATAGAGTTGACTGGGCAATGCAATCGGAATTAATACATGTCACGGCCAAGATGAGGTCAAGACTAATAAAAATATGTCGTATAAAGTTACAGTTTGAGCAGCTTATGTGGCTTTTGAGGAGGCGTTTTGAGTAGCACTGGCCATTAAAAAACAACTTTGTGGTTTATTGATTTTATTTAGCGTTTATCGCTCACCAAACACTGGCCGCTTAAGGCAACTTGTCGCATTTGTTGTTGTTGCTGTTGCTTTGTGTGGTGTGCGACAATTTCATTAGCCAAAAAAAGCGAAAGGCGCTTGCCAAATACGGAATTCAAAACTTCAAAAATGTCGAGCGCCGAGTGACTGAATCGAATTTTAAACTTATGCAAGTCTCTGATTGATTTTCAAATGTTTTAATTACTTAATAAACAATTTGTTTGCTTACTTCGATGCGTGTCTAAAAATAG